TGTTGTTGAGCTGTATGCTTTGTAAACTGTGAATTGTTAGGTTGGGTTGGTTTTATGCAGGTTGTAGTTATGGAGGTTAGGATGGGGTGTAAGGAGTACCCGTATTCTGTACCCTTAGCTTGTGTTTAGAGGTTTGCTTGTTGAGTACCGTGTGGTTTGGTACTCACCCCTTGCTTCTACAATCTTTTGTAGGTTACGAGCCCGGATCTTCGTGATACCTTCCATTCTCTTCGTTTCCGAGGCTTTCTGTGGAGATCTGAGAGGTAGCTATTTGTCATCTCAGCGAGCCTCCTTACTCCTGTTTATGATTTTGTTTTTACTTGAAAGACAACATCATTTGAGACTTGCGTATTTTATTTCAATTCTAGTAGTTACATTAGAGGCTTGTGCACGTGACAACCAGGTTTTGGGGATTGAATTAAGTTGACTTGTTTTCGTAATAGTAATTGTTATTGAACTTTGCTTTATTTCCGCACTTTATAGAAATGATTGGGTTTTAGGCTGACTTGTCTTGGTGGGATACGACGAGTGCCATCACATCCATTTTTGGGTCGTGACAGTAGGCTTACTTAAATTGATTTACCAACATGAAATGTGCTGCAAAATTGCCAAGTCTTACATCGTATTGTAATTTGTATCTTTGACTAACAAGGGTTGCGACAGAATGATAAATGTTTCTTCATTCTTAATCAATAGGTCTCGGGTTCAAGTATTCTTGGATACAGAGTCGTGTTTGTTAAGGAACGCTTTATCTCTCCATGTGAGACTTTTCGATGCGAATCCAAATTTAGTCAGACTCCAATGTGGATACCGAATACTAGATTGAAAAAAAAAAGTAATTTGTATCTTTGAAAGCTCCAAAATCTTTAATTTTTAAAAGTTCGATGGTCATTGGTCAAGGCCGTGTAAGATGTACAGTACCATTTCACTCTAAAGACAAATAAAATTTTCCCACTTGCCTTGTTTCCTTATTTTTCAATTCTTTCTCATTTTCTTCTAGATCTTGATTTTGTAACTGAAACCCAACTCCCAAAATCCAGTCTTGCTGTTAAGATTGGATTTTTAGGGTCAAAACATATGTTAGTACCTTCAAAGTTGCTGTTTTTTCAGTTAAAGATTGGATTTTTGGGTCAAAGTATCTGTTAATACCTTCAAAGTTTCTGTTTTTATCAGTTAAAGATTGGATTTTTGGGTCAAAACATCTGTTAATACCTTCAAAGTTGCTGTTTTTTTTCAGTTAAAGATTGGATTTTTGGGGTAGATGGGTATGGCAGGTGTCCAAGAAAATGGACATGGGGAAATGGGTCTGTCAGATTTTCCATTGGGGAGCAAGAACAAGTATAAGAGAATGGATTCTGACTTTACAGATGATGATGATCAATATCAGTTGGAAAGGAGGAAGAAGAGTACTAGAAAATATGTTTTTGGTTGTGCTGTTTTTGCTTCACTTAACAATGTCCTCCTTGGTTATGGTAAATCTTTTTATAATTTTTACATGTCTGTTGTTATTTGCCTCATAAATTGTGAAATCAAAGTATTAGGAGTGTTATGTGTATTGATACTTGCTGTGAGATGCTCTTATTCTTGAAAGGTTGACTTTTTTTTAAGATTTGTGTTTTGAGCTTTGACTTGCGATGGACTAGTTTGTACTAAATTTTGAAACTAAAAAGGAAAGTGTGTTACGTAAATTGGGACAGAGTGAGTATTAATCTAGAGTAGTGGTGATAATAGAAGCAGTAAATTTAACAAGTGTGAATGCTTGTCTCTGGAGAAAATATATGTGATTCAAGATTAAAGCCAAGCAATCCTTTGGGCAGAGAAAGAGCTGATAAATCAATCTTGGAGTTATAAGTGATTATATTTTAATTGATTCATTACATCTAATCACATATTAGAGTTGATCTTTTCTGGCTTTTAGTTCAGTGACCATCTGAGAAATCAATCCTTATATATAGGGGACACTTAGAACCTTACACCAAAACTTGTCATAGGAAGGAAGTGAGTCTCTTCATTACGAGTCGAAAAAATAAAACTCTATAGCAAAAACAAGTGACTTCCCTCAATGAATATATGGATCATAAGAAATTCTTAGACTTGGCATTGAAGACCTGTCATGTCTAAATAAAGTCCGCAACTTGCTGGACAGATCAACTAAAGTAGATAGTACTTGAAGATCCTATACACTTTGAGAAGCACGGTGAGCAATTCGTTAGCAAGTAGCAACACTGTTGTTATCTTCTCTAGCACAATGCAGCAAGGAGAAGTACTAATGGATGGAGCTTGTATTGCATAAATAATGTATTCCTTACTTTTATGCATTTGATCCAGGAAATGTTTAACTTATAGTCCAGTTTCTGCAAGTTCTAGTTCGTTATTAGTGGAGAAAAAACCTGCTTTATCTAGTGGAATTCAAGAGAAAGAGTGACAATTGTCATCTAACTTTTACAAATTATGTGTAGTACTAAGTGATATACATTATAATTCGTTTTGAATACGCACTACCTGGTTTCAGAGTAGCCGAATATAAATCCAGGGTGGGGATTGTGGGGTACAAGGAAATGCTTTCGAATTTATTCATCAATTCATGTAGCTAAACGCTGGTCGCTGTGTGCTTCTTTATAAAGTTTATTAACAAGCTGAGGTTTGATTTCGATGCTTATGTTTTCAATTTGCAGATGTAGGTGTCATGAGTGGAGCAATCTTATTCATTCAACAAGATTTGAAAATAACAGAAGTTCAACAGGAAGTTCTTGTCGGTGTTTTGAGCATAATTTCACTTATAGGTAGCTTAGCTGGTGGAAGAACATCAGATGCGATTGGTAGAAAGTGGACGATGGGGTTTGCTGCTGTTATTTTTCAAATAGGTGCAGCTGTAATGACTATTGCTCCTTCGTTCGAAATACTAATGGTAGGAAGGATTTTAGCTGGTGTTGGCATAGGCTTCGGCGTTATGATTGCACCCGTCTATATAGCTGAGATATCACCAACTATTGCTAGAGGCTCTCTCACATCATTTCCTGAGATTTTCATAAATCTAGGAATTTTACTCGGTTATGTATCTAATTATGCATTCTCCGGTCTTTCAGCACATATAAGCTGGCGGGTAATGCTTGCTGTTGGAATTCTTCCCTCAGTCTTTATTGGAGTCGCTCTCTTCATCATCCCGGAGTCACCAAGGTGGTTGGTTTTGCAGAACCGAGTAGAAGAAGCAAGGTTGGTTCTTCTGAAAACAAATGAAAATGATTCAGAAGTTGAGGAGAGACTAGCCGAGATACAACAAGCTGCTGGAACCGCAGACACGGACAAACCTGTCTGGCGTGAATTGTTGAGCCCCTCTCCGGCTCTACGTAGGATGCTGATCACAGGTATTGGAATTCAATGTTTCCAACAGATTACCGGAATTGATGCAACTGTTTACTACAGTCCCGCAATTTTTAAAGCAGCTGGTATTGAGGACGAATCAAAGCTTCTAGCTGCTACGGTTGCTGTGGGAGTCAGCAAGACAGCATTTATACTAATAGCCATCATTCTCATTGACAAAGTCGGACGAAAGCCATTGCTCTATGTGAGCACAATTGGTATGACTACATGTTTGTTAGTCGTGGGGATCACTCTACTTTTAATGAAAGAAGGATCAATCAGCATCGCGCTAGCCATACTATTTGTTTGTGGGAACGTAGCATTCTTCTCAGTGGGGATTGGTCCTGTCTGTTGGGTTTTAACGTCAGAAATCTTTCCCTTAAGGCTTCGTGCTCAGGCATCAGGGCTCGGAGCAGTAGGTAATAGAATGTGCAGTGGGCTGATCGCAATGTCTTTTCTCTCTGTTTCGCGTGCAATAACAGTTGGTGGAACCTTCCTAATCTTTTCAGTAATCTCTGCACTGTCTGTTGCATTTGTCTACAAACACGTTCCAGAAACGAAAGGCAAATCGTTGGAGCAGATAGAGTTGTTGTTCCAGGATGAATATGCATTTCAAGGAGGTGAAGTGCAACTTGGAGATGTTGAACATCTAGTGCAGAAGTGATACAAAAGTCCTTGTTGATTACATGTTAAATACACTGATTGAATTGAATCATTATTCATTTGAGTGGTGAAGTTTTGGAGAGGCTATCTGCAAATGCCACTACAACTTTCTCCTTCGAACCACAGGGGAGAAGCCACGGAGTTCACACGATACATCTTTTACTTACAGTGAAACAGACATAAATATCGACGTCTGAGGAAGGATATGTAACTCTTATTTATCGAAAGAATCCCATGTTGAAAACTTGTGAAAATATATTGTTTTATTGGCTAAATGAAATGATGAGGGCTTACTTTTGGCTGCAAATTTCACAACAGTCTATGTAAATGATTTATGTTAGTAGTGACTAGTGACAATGGCTGCATCCAAACATAGTAACAAATCAAGTAAACTCATCGAAAGGGGATCTTAGAGCATAAAACAGGGGATGCTCTGTTCATATCCCATAAGGCCTTCCGTGTGAAATTAAACGAGAACCAACAACCATTCAGTGAATTGTCTCGTGTAACTAAGTTTCAAGATGTTCACTGAATCATCATTTGCACGATGAAAAAGAATATCTAACTAAACTCAGTATGATATTAGTTCTTGATGAAAAAATGATAAGCTTAAAAATTGTTAGTTCTTAATAAAAGATGAAAAATGTTACTAATATTATGGTTAGATAGCTAATGATTAAGTTTAAATGTTTAATCCGGCTTTAGTATGATAGCCTGCAAATTATACAAGAAAGATAAATCGCGCCCATAGGATAAAGTTTGCTCTAATGTGATAGCCCACAAACTACACAGGAAAGATATTTGAAGATCAGATTTTCAAATAAAATTTCATGGTCAAACGCTAGCTTATTTCACTCGGAAAATTCCTTGAAGGAGAATGTTTACAGTTGGGAAATGTAATGTAATGCATAAATCTAATGAATTTTGTATAACAAGTAAAAGGAATGACACACACACAACAAACACTCACACACATTCTATTTGTTATGAATTGACCTCAAATTCCTTTCTGCTTGCAGTTTTTCTTTCTTGAGAGCCTTGAACATAGCTGCAATTTCATCGTAATCCGGAAGCTTAGGATGGACATAGCTTTTCAACGACGATTCTTCACCAGGCTCTTGAAGTACTGGAAATGAATTTGATTGAAGAAAGTTGTCCACGAGGTTATCTTTAGGCCTTTCAACTGGCATAGTCCTTGTCCTCATATAAAGTTGTCCGCGAATCATTGCTGATGATGATGAGAATGTAAACGAACATCTTTCCAAATCATCCGTCATGAATGATGCATCCTTCATAGCGATAAGTCTCGTCTTTTGCAGAGGGGAAATACTCACATTGATATGATCAGTATCCATCTTTAACATTAAGGGACAGAGAAGTCCTTTGAACATGAAAAGCCTCTGATCTTGAAAGTTTAAATCTTTGCTTAGAATAGACTCAAACTCTTCAACGTCATCCTTATAAGCTAACTGATCTGTCATTTTCCCGGATATAAAGCCATTGGCTCTCCAAAATTCTCCTTTCATTACAAGCTCAGGACTAGAAATTGTAGATTGAGACGAATAATTACTACATCGAGTAGGATTTGATACTCTTTCCTGCTCATTGTTCTTCATACAATGGACTGAATCTATAGAAGTTTGTTCAATTGCTGATAAATAATCAGTAGAAGTTCCCTCAATTTCTGATGAATAATCAATAGATACAATATTTGCTTCTGTCGCGATGTTGGAATTCTTCGATCCTGTTTTGTAACCAATTTGAGCATCATCAACGTGTTTATGCACCTGCAGTAAGAGACAGATTTAGGATTTTGAGTTTATGAATTCTGAATTATAAAAGGACAACTAACTACTTTATATATACTAAAGAGATAATGGTTAAAAACACACCTGAGTCCTCAAGTATCACATTTTTGTGAGTTTCATACTTGAATAATCAATAGATACTAGTTGAGGTGTGTTCTGATAAATATTTAGTGATAGTTCTGGTAGAAAACGCAAACACCTGATAGTTCAGGTAGGAAACTCGCAAAAACGTAACATAATTACCTGTTCTTGTTGTGATTCATTTCTGTATTCAAGAAGTAAAGGTCCTTGTTGAAAGCAAATCCTTGCTATTTCATCCACCAATTTATATTTCACTTCATTTGAAACAGACTTTATACACAAGTTCTCTTTTATCTGTATATTCAAAGAACAACAAAACTTACAAAATTTACAACCTTAATCAACTCTTTATAGTAAAATGTGGACAAACCTGATAGTTCACAAGATTTCCAGGAAGTAATTCAAGTGCAGATGTTTCGAATTTCTTCCCATAACGTTGTCCGAAGAGTTTCCTGATCACAGGAAGCTCTGGTAAATTGCCAAGTCTCGTAGATGCAAATACGAGACTTGACACTGCTTCATTGATGTCATTTGGACAATCTCTGTATCAAAACAGAGATCGACAATAGTTATCGAGTTTAACTACTATACATATTCAAAATCAGATCACTTAAAAGATAACTACAGGTAACTGTTCATATTAATTCCTTACTTGTGTCTACGAATATATGGAAGGCTAATGAGGATAAATTCACAAAAATTCTCCAATAAATCATATACTACCAACATATTGTCATCCATAAATAGCTGATCAACCTGAAAATACAAAAAAAAATAAAAAATTGCAAGTTGTTACATGGACTAAAAATCCATATATCTACTAAAGACACGCGAATTTTAGATGGACATTTCTATTAGAACGTTGTTAGAAATATGAAATTTTCGACGTAACGTACCCTATCAAAGACAATTTGGTAATGTCCATGTCTAAGTAGTTGCCCTAAGTCATCTTTCAATTGCTTAACAATGCAACTTCTCTTGTTCTTCAACAGCTTAAGCCGGCATTTAACTCTTTTAATCAAATTCTTACTGCCAAAAAAAAAGTAGTAATTACATTAGATGCTCTGTCTAGTAGTATAAATTCGTCAAAAAAAAAAAATGATGAAGTAAGGGAAATTGAAATTGTACGTACCATTTAGTAGCTTTTCTCCACCCAAAAATTACATCAAACATGTCAACAAGAATGGGTATGATACAACAGATAATCTTAATGAGTAGCGATAAATTGATCAACGCGAGTGAACCATAGAGAATTATTATGACAAGTGAATGATAGAAATTGGAAAAGATGAAAGAGCATGTGTGTTTTCACTTTTCAGCTAAAAGAGAAAGTAAATATTTTTGGTTGAAGAATATATGAACTGAACCCCCAGTAATAAAGTTTTTTTTAAAAAAAAAAACAAAGAAAAAGTTAGGTGTTTAGTTTAAGGAAAAAAAGGTAAAAAGATGAAATTAACGAAAAATATTAGAAGCAGCTTTTTTAACTGTTACTCCACTATGCTCATAAGACGTAACCATTAGCCCATTACTTTTTATCACGTTCGTTAATCCCCGCAACTCACTCCACTTATCCAAAATAATAATAACAATAAATAAAATATGTGTTTGTTAAGCTTTAATTTACGAGATAAAAATATTAGGTTATTTTTAATTTGTCATAAGTCCTAACTATGGTGAATCGAATTATTTGATACTTATTGACACCACGAATTTTAAAAAAAGGTACTATATGAGAGTCAATTAAAATTATCATATTTTTAATAATTAAAAATAATAAGAGTCAATTTGGATAAAAAGAAGTAATAATAATTTTTTTATTTTCTAAAAAATGAAATATTTTAAAACAATCTCAAGTTTAGAAAACGACTAATATTTTGAAACAATCCCAAGAATAATAATTTGATAATTTTTTAAGATAGTGATTCGCATTTGGCTAAGACAAAAGAATAATAATTTGATAATTTAAGTTTAGAAAAGGCATAATACATAAATTGTTATCTCCTGTATTCAGGTTAATCAAAAATACAGAAACAGAAAAAAGATGAAATTGACAGAATAATTTTTAATCCGAGTCCACAGAAACCACTGTGTTTCCTTAAGAAATTTAATCCCCTCACTGTACCCGAGGTTGCAGATTAATTCCTCCCAAGATAAAACGGATTAATCTGTTAAAGAAGTAGCGGTACCTCAAACTTCAATAACTTCAGCGAACGCAAGAACAGTAACAAGAGCACACACATACTCAGTCGATCGACAATTTTATTTAAGAAAGAAAATGTATGCAGAGAGGAAAATTTTCAGTGTTTGAAAAAACGAAAAAGACGTCTTATTTATAGCCATTTGCAGCAAGGAACGCGTCCGTTCAGAAAATCTGTTCAGACCCGTTTTTTCCAGAACACTGTGTCCTTTGGGAAAAGTAACGACTTTTCGGAAGGAATACCGTTTGGAAAAAATAACGACTTTTCGGAAGGAATACCGTTTGGAAAAATAACGACTTTTTGGAAGGATTACCGTTACACGTGAATTTCAAATAAATTCAGTTGCGCCAAATTAATTATGTTATTTAATTAACATTCTGAATTAATTTATAAGAGAAAGCAAAAGATTTAACAAGATTGATTAAATAAATTTTGTCCAAAAATATTATCAATCAATCACATCATTTGCCAAATCCAAATCCGAAGCCGAAGCCGAGGCCGAGCGAGCGATGACGACGGCGCGAGGGGGCACCTTCTTCTTAACCCTTTAAGAACTAAAGGAAGTGTTTCCTAATATAAGGACAACAATTTCCTTTCTTCTACCGATATGGTAAAAATGACCTTTCATTTGCACTTTTGCAATGATGACTTTTCATTTTCCCTTCAAAATTGGTTCTCCCACTTTCATTGGTTCTTCCACTTTCCATTTTCTCTTTTTTATTTCCCATTCACACCTTGCTAAACCCAACATAAACATCCTTAATTTGGCGTCAGCTGACAATTATGACCTTTAACTTTGATGTGCACAAATAGACACTTAAACTTGTATAAAACTGAACAAATGGACATATTTGTCCTACATGACACTCTACATGACAATTTTGTGTCTTATGTGGGGTCTTACGTGTATTATGTCAGTAGGACACGTGTGTCTACTTGTTCTATTTTATACAAGTTTAAGTGTCTACGTGTGCACACTCCAAGTTGAAGGGCATAGTTATCTGTTGAAGCCAACTTAAGAGTCATGTTTATGTATTATGCCTTTAGAAAACGACTAATATTTTGAACCAATATATATATATCAGAAATTGAAAAACAAATTCAACAAAGTGGGATAATATGAATATCAACATTAAGATTTAGAAACAACATTTTAATCATACATTTAGATTTAGATATCTTAATCAACTAACTCAAACCGACTCTAAATATATAATGCATCGGCATGATCATAGCATTATCATTTGCTCATGTCCTAGTTAAGTGCACGCTCTGATTTCTTGTCTATTTGGGTGGTCCTGTTGGGGTCAAAGGAACAGTTCATCACCATTTAAAAAGGCCAAAATTTATAATTAAAATAAAAAATGAATAGCGTGCCTTTACATTTTTTACTTTTAGTATCGTTTAAATATTTTTCTGAAAAATAATAATTTCTTACTTATTTTATGATGTTTCGATCAGTAAAAAGAGTATTTTTTTAAAGAAAAAACCATAAATATAACTCAAAGCGGATTATATCACATTATTTTGCAGGTAGGCAACTGATAACGAACTGAATATTGTGGGAAAGTGAGATAAGTAAGCTAGGCATAATGATGGTAACCAGTGGCACTAAAAGGTCATATTCTCTTTACCTTTATTCTTAATTATTTCTTTTGCAGATAACTATAAGATAGTAATCATAATTATTCCTTAATTATATGCTCCAACACAATTTGATTGATTCCCTTTTATTACTTTTCGAATTGAGAATTTATGGAAAATAACTTTTTAATCTAAAAATAAGGATAAGATTTGTGTATATTTATATTATATTCTCTTCATCAAACGATTTTATTTATAGAATTACACATAACATGTTATTAATTGTTTTTAAGCTCCAACACAACACCATTAGCTTTCATCACAATAAATAAAGGATTTTATGGCGGTTATTTAGTAGTGATTAATATGATTTTTGCTATATTTTTATATTTTATAAGTGACAATAATAAATACACAAGTATTTATAATCAATATTTTATTAGTCTATTCTTTGTCAGGAATGTCACAATTAATCTGAAAATTTATATTGTTTAGATTTTGAATCCACCTCTTTAAACCGTCGTGATATGAATTCCCCAAAATTAAAGGAGATGAGGAAAGGGGAAATGGAAAATGGAAAATAGAGTCAAAGATGAGATCAAACTTCTCTCTTGTTTTTCTTCCCTATCTAGTAGAACCACCCACTACTATGAAACACGTATTAAATGAACTTTATTTTTTTAAAAGAAAATGAGGGTCAGAAATCAAATTCTCACTGACAAGATGAAAGTTTAAATAATTAATTAACTAACTGAACTATTAAAATTCTCGATGAAGAACATTGGATGTTTGTTTGCCTTAAAGTTTTCTTTCATCATTCATAAATAATACAACTTGACCCAAATAAATGTTCTATTACATATGAAGATTTGCTATTAATTCCAATAAACAATTATAAAAAATAAAAAATCAACAACATTTTATGACTCTAGCAGGAGAAACACCACCAATACCAGAATTAGAATTAGTACAAGAGTTTATACTATGAGCCCTCATAAAAGAAAAAACAGAAATCATAGCACATTTCACTTTTAAAACTATTTTCTTCAATTTCTTCTTCCTTAAATTCTTTGAAGATTCCAATTTATAGCTTTGCAAAAATATATTTCTTTTTCTTGCCCTTTCCCTTCTATAACTAATTGAACTCAACGTAATTGGACTACTTTGTTTTACACTCCTCTTTAATTTCATAATTGTTCTCCGAACACTATGACTACGGTCTTCATCATTCTGCATCGAAGCTTCCGTACATACTGGTTGATCCAACGGCTCGTATCCATCCACCCGTCTGCTAAAACGTAACGGGGTGTTTCGTACTAGACTTGTCATAGTGCTCTGATCCCGAGTTTGTCCTGCTTTTAACTTTGGAAAATATTGGTATGGAGAGATTTTGGTGGTAGAGTAAAGTTTTAGCTATGAATATATATCAATTGGTCTTGATGAATTGTGTATTTATTTGGTTAAATTATTGATGATATTTTTATTTTAATAAACGTGTTAGATCTATATAGGTTCATTTGACTGTACTTGCCAATTTTTTCGTACTTGGTAGGCGGCTTGGTTGTTTGAATAAATTAAATGATTTAGTATAAGAAAATGACAAAAATGGTACATTATCTTTAAAAGCAGGTTCAAAATAGTCTATATAAGTATCACTTGAATAAATTTTGGCCCTTTAAATTTATAAAATAATGAGTAGTTATCTGAATTTCAACAGTCAAACTTCTTTATTTCGACTGTCCATTCAGACATATGACTTTTAACATCTTTGATAAACTTAAAAGATCAAAATTATTTTATTTTAAGATTATTTTTTTTAACATACACTCAAACATAATGGACCATTTTTGTTAATTTTTGTCGACATAGTAGTGCAATATTAAAATTGGTAGTCAAAGTCAAGAAGGTCATATTCAAAACATTTATTGGATTAGTTAGAATTTAAGAAAAATGTAATGAACGGTCATGATGAAATTTTCAATTGTTTTCACTTCATATAAGTCAACATAAAGGAATGGTCTCTAAGTATAATACTTAATAAATAAGAAAAGAAATAAGGGAGAAACTTCTTTTAAGCAACAAATATTTGACTAGATATGGAGGCTTTTTTTGTTTTCATTTGGTCATCTTGAAACCAAATGTTCCTTTGGGGTGTTTGTTTGTTAAAAAGAAAATATTAGTAGAAATGATTGATGGGTTGTTGGTCGGATTTAATTGAGATTTCTTTCGTAATGAATAATTTTAATTGAAATTGAATAATTTTGGTCAATTTGGGGAAATCGTTATATTTGTTAAGTTTTATAACATCAAGATAATAGTTGAACAATATATGGTCCTTTTCCTTGTTTATAAAATAGCAAAACTAACACTACTAAAAAATCAGTATTTTTTCACTGAAAAATATTCAATGACTATTTTTATAAAAAAATTTTAAATTAAATTTCATACGAAAAAATTATAAAGTTCTGTAGAATTTTAATAAAAATCTACCGCGCTGAAAAGTGTCTGGTCCTAGTCATGTATGTCCTCAATATTTGTCATAAGAACCATCGATGGGGTCGCTATTAAACTAAATCTCGTTGACATTCCATAAGTGAAGAAATAAGACTATACTAAAATATATTAATATATTGTAAAATGAAGCAATTTAATATATCTAGAAGTTGAGACCAATGGATGTAATTATTAAATCCTAAAACATTGAATTTATGTTTTCAAAAATGACCGTCGGACAACATTAGCTAAATCCTAAGTAAGTATTATTTTTATTCCACTAGACTAATAAAATTTTGCTTAACATAAAATATCATATGGAATAATACATAAAATAATTATTCACATTAAATAATAGCATAGTTTTCAAAGAATTTAAGCACGTGTTTTAATATTTTATTTATCCTCTTGTATTTTTCTGTGATTAATTATTCTCAGTTACCCCCATTATGTTGAATCTTCTGCCACCAACAAGGGTTGTGCTTAAGTGGCAAGTATTTCTTCATCTTTAATTAAAAGTCTCATATTTGAATTCTCTTGGATACAGAGTCGTCTTTGTTAGGGATTGTGTTATCCCCCAATATAGGACTTCTGAACGCAAATTTAAATTTAATCGGACTTCAATATGGATACTAGATACCGAATAATTATCATCAATCAGGCACAACGTGAGGCTGATTGCGGTAGATCAAGAGGATATATATAATTCTTATTTCAATTTTTGGAAGTGAATAATAAGTGTATACACTGAACATCAACCAAAGGTTGGAGCTAAAAACATTACGGCCCATTATATTTAGATTGGGCTTCTCCATCACCATAAAGCCCAATAAGAAATTAAAAAGAAAAGAAACGAAAAAAACAATATTTGATTGGATTGAATTTTGTGGTGTTGTTAAAAGAGTTTTTTTTTTTTTTTTGTAAACAACGTTATTTGCATCTAGATTTATGAAAAATTAATGAGATTTTATTTCATTACGAAACGTAACAGTGTTTTGATTTCAAAACGTAGCAGAATATATTATATTCATGTAATGAAATACATTCGCGCGCATAATAAGTGTATTCACGCATATACTATATACGAAATACACTATATATATACACATTCGTAACAATAGTGAAATACATTTTATCTACGCACTTAGTAAGTGTAGCTGCTCATATACAATATATTTGTCTAATTATATCTGTGCAGATAATAAATATATTCGTGTATATTAATAACTCTCTTTGTCTCATATTAGTAATCCACATTTCCCTTTACACGCCTTTTAAAAAATCATAAATAAAATTAAAAATTAAAATAATTTACCCTTTATCCACTACTTTGAAAGAAACTTTTTAGAACTTGTAAATTGTTTAGACTCTCAAAACAATTAAGAGTCAATTTGGATAAAAGATAGTAATAATAATTTTTTTTTCTTAAACATCAAGTATTTTAAATCAAAGGGAATAATAGTTTGACAAATAATTTAAAACGTCTATATATAACCAGGTGAACAACTTATATGAAACGGAGAAAAGATATATAGAACTCCAAACAATCGCTAAATAGATAAATATAGAACCTCAATTTGATGTGTCAAAGCAATTCAATTAACTTGTTAAAACATGTGAAAATATTCACATGGGGTATGGACATTTTATCAATTTAAGTAATTATAAAAGAATACTCTAATATTTAACCAAAGTAATAAATACATCACGTGCAATAGAAATCACATTCTGGAGTTTTACTTTAATTTTGTGTGAGTAAAAAAAAACATTTATAGCAGTCACATTAGAGTACACTAAGCTCATAACTTTACTATATTTACTTTTCATCTTTGAGATCATGTTACCATAATTTTACCAATATATTATTTATTATAATATATGCTTTCTTCATTTAAAGCTGGTCCATGAAAATTGACAAACCAACTTCAACTCACCATTCAAATTTTCACGTTAAACAACATTTCTTTGTCATAGTAAATTTTTGTACCATAAATTAATCACCATACTTCCAAAAAAATAATTAAGTAGTATTCTCTCCGTCTCATATTACTTGTCAATATAATTAAAAATATTTTGTTGCATTAATAAAGGGTACATCAAAAAGAGTTAAAATTAGTAAAGATACTCATCTTATATATGATTTTTTGAAGGCGTGTAAAAAGGAAAATGGATAAATAATAAATGGAGTATACATTAAATATTTTAATTTATTGATATAATAATACTTACAATAGTAAATTAAAACCACTTATATCATATTACAGATCAATTATTGTTATTTTATTCGAGAAGCTTAAATTCTACGGATTAATCAAGTAATATTTACACAATTAAATTATTTAAAAGATAATTACATATAAATCTGTTTAATAGTGCATTGACTAGGTAATCATGTGGAATAAATGGTAAGGTTATAAGTCAAAGTATTAAATTATGTTGATAATGTAAACAATCATTACACTGTCAATTATATAATTTAATTAAATCCGTCATGGCTAATCATAAAAATGTCCTTCTAAATTATCTTACAAGCTAAGTTATATGATTGATGTAAAATAAAATAATTTTTACGCTGTCAATTACATGTATTAAACTATTGTCTAATCATAAAAATTTCCTTTTAAATTATCTTTTTAGTGATCTAATTGAGTAAATATCTTTAACACTATCAATACAAACTAAGCGATGTGATTGAAATAAAATAAAATATTTTTTACATTGTCAATTACATAAATTAAATCATTGTCTAATCATAAAAATTTCCTTCTAAATTATCTTATTAGTGATCTGAGTAAATATCTCTAAGACTGTTAGTACAAACTAAGCGATAGGATTGATATAAAATAAATTATTTTTTACACTATCAAATATTACATAAATTAAATCATTGTCTAATAATAAAAACTTCCTTCTAAATTATTTTATTAGTGATCTGATTGAGTAAATATCTTTAAGACTGTCAGTACAAGCTGAGTGATATGATTGATGTAAAATAAAATATTTTTTACACTGTCAGTGCACAGATCGAAAAATGGAAATGTGTCAAATTGTGATTCACAGGGTTCTCAAGCCCAATGAGTGTGAATGTGCCTATTTCATGTGACCTAGCTTATTGCTATATCTCTCACTCTTGCCTGTGACTTGCTTCAATTCTTACCTCTTTTAAATATCCATGCATTTCTTTCTTTTTTCCTTCAACAAAACATTAATCTTTGTTTTTTTTCTCCATCAACCAACAAAGGTGATCAAAGAGCTTAAGAGGAAGAAGAAGAAGAAAAACAAATTAAGGATGTATACAATGAGGAGTTTCAAGTATATTGCAACTATGATCATTATTCTTCTTGTTTTTCTTCCAATTGTCATGAATGCAAGGCATATTCCCAAGATTAACTCATGTATGATCAACTTTTCTTTCTTCCAAGCATTTTATTTCTTAGATGATGGTTATATAACTGATAGTTATTATCTCAGAAAGTCGTAAGATTTTTTTCTTATTCAAATTTTCTTTTAAAAATGAAAAAAATTAAATGACTTTTTAAGATAATAACTAAGTACTTATTAGTTGAGTGAATATTCGAAGAATCAACTCTTTAGTTTTCTTTATCAACAAACTATTTTATAAACTTTATTGATGAATAATTGTTTTCGTCCAAATATCTACTTCCTCTATTTTATTTTATGTGACACACTTCTTCATAATGTTATCTTTTTTATACTTGCAAAGAATAGAAAGTTAAACTTTTCATTTTATCTTCAATGAATTTTTTTAATAACCACACAAATGTTATGACATGTTTAAGATCATAAGTTATAAAAGTCTTTTTCCCCTTAAATTTGTCCCCCGAAAATAAGTTCAATTCTTCTCATATAAACTACTATAAGTAGTTCATGTCAATATGATTGAAAAAAATAGTACAATTTGAAATATTGATCAGAGTTCATATAGTTTAACTTTCGAAAAACGAAACGTAACAAGTATTTAAAGGCGAATAGAGCGTATGTGATCACACTGAATATATTATTGTTATCGTAATATTTTGCATTCTCTTTACCACATAAACTTTTTGCTAATGATGCTCATTTTTTTTTCTTTTTTCTTTTTAGATGAAAGACATATGGTCATGTCACCAACTAAAAAGACAACATTGGCAAGGGGAGTAATGGCAAAAAGAGCAGATACATTGCAAGTAGCAGGATCAAGATTACCAGATTGTTCTCATGCATGTGGATCATGTAAACCTTGTAGATTAGTGATGGTTAGTTTTGTTTGTTCATCATTAGAAGAAGCTGAGACTTGTCCTGTTGCTTACAAATGTATGTGTCATAACAAGTCATACCCTGTACCTTAATTAATCATTAGTTTTAAAAAAATAACTATATGTTATGTTATCAATTTTCCAAAAAAATATCATATGTAACATATAGTACTTCTTAATTTCCTCTAATTCCCTAGTGTAGGGTCTAATTAGTAGGATCATTTCTCATATGTATTCAATGAGAGCTTCTTGTTTCATTTTTTTTAGTTGCAAGATACATCGATATTTGTTAAATTTGTTAGTAAATTTCATTAAGCACCTCAACATATGATTAAGTAATGCGAAATTTTGGAAAAGCTTTTCCACAATATACGTTCTCAAGCACATGTTGCATAAATAAGTTAATTACTTAATAAGTCATAAAAACTCAGGTTTGTTCCAATTGATGTGTATTGTGTATAATTAAAGAAGGAGACACATTTTATGTGATTAACTTAATTATATTTACATAATAGTATTTGATAAAACAGGTAGAAACTTTTTAAAAAATATGAGCCGAGAAGAATGTCTTAATTGGAAGATTTTATACAAATTTAAGGAGTTATCAGTGTATTCAAACTTATTTAATTTCTTTTCTTTCTAGGACTTCCTTTCTTAATATTATGAGGCGAATTCAACATTTGAAAATTCCGATTATCTGTCGAAATCAAGTAGAAATCATGAAGAACATTTCTCCATTGATGAACATGAAGCTGAGCTTCGAAGCAAAAACAGAGAAAGGAGTTTGTGAAACTTGGAAATCAAAATTGTATTGCTTTAGATGATTACACTGTATATATATACAATAGGAACTGGGAATCTTCTAGAAAACTTGACTAACTAACTTTAACGGAAAGCTAACTAACTAACGGAAATCTAAGCTAACTAGTAAACGGAAAACTAACTAACTGAGGACTAATCTAACTTACACTTGTATAATCACAATTTATCTCAACACCCCCCCTCAAGTTGGAGGTGAGGAACTCACAACCAACTTGCGCAATATGCTGGAATGTTTGGTACTGGGCAGGGCCTTGGTCAAAACATCAGCAAGCTGACTCTCAGTTGGAATGTAATGGAGTGTAATGAGCCCTGCTTGAAATTTCTCTCTAACAAAATGGCAGTCCACCTCAATATGCTTTGTCCTCTCATGGAAAACAGGATTCTTGGCTATGTGAACAGCTGCCTGGCTATCACAAAAAACAGTTATAGGTAAGCTGCATGTCAAATCCAGCTCTGTCAATAATCTTTCCAGCCATACTATCTCTCCTATCACCTGTCTGATGGCTCTGTATTCTGCCTCTGCTGAGGACAAGGATATGGTTGTTTGCTTCTTAGATTTCCAGCTAATGGGACTGTCTCCCATCAGTACTACATAACCACTTACTGATTTCCTTCTATCAGGGCATGCAGCCCAATCTGAGTCACAATAAGCTGTGAGTGAACAGTCTGCATTGTTAGACAAGTGTATGCCCAAACATGGATCACCTTTTAAGTATCTTAGAACATGATATGCAGCCTGGAGATGTGGTTCTCTAGGATGTTGAAGGAATTGACTAAGGTGTTGAACACTAAAAGCTATGTCCATTCTGGTATGAGTCAAAAAATTGAGCTTCCCAACCAACTTTCTGTAGTGTGTGGGATCTTTCAGCAATGTACCCTCATCGACTTTATGCTTGACTGTGGACTCAAGGGGTGACAGGACAGGTGTATAATGTGAACAGTCAAATTCTTTCAATAGGTCCATAGTGAATTTTCTTTGAGAGATCAACACTCCAGAATCTTGGTATAAAATTTCCAAACCAAGAAAATATTGAAGTCTGCCCAAGTCCTTGATCTTAAACTCATTGTGAAGGTAACTCTTTAAGGAAGTAATCTCTTCAACATCAGTACCTGTCAAGATGATATCATCAACATAAACAGCAACAAACACCAAAGAAACTCCAGTTTTCCTGAAAAATAGAGAGTAGTCACTCTCTGAATGAGAATAACCTCTTGAACACAGAGCTTGTGCAGGTTTATCATACCACTGTCTACTTGCTTGTTTCAGCCCATACAAAGATTTCTTAAGCTTACATACCAAACCTGTGTTTTCTGTCAAGAGGCCTGGGGGTGTGTCCATATACACCTCTTCTTGTAAGTCTCCATGAAGAAATGCATTATTGACATCCAACTGATACAAATTCCATCCTTTCTTGACAGCCATACATATCAAAATCCGAATTGTAGTCATTTTAACTACTGGAGAAAATGTCTCATTGTAATCAATCCCAGCATGTTGAGTGTAACCTTTCACAACAAGCCTTGCCTTCAACCTTTCTATTGTGCCATCAGCCTTATGTTTGATCTTGTATACCCACCTGCACCCAATTGCTTTCTTCCCTATGGGCAGTTTGACAAGATCCCATGTGTTATTAGCATATAAGGCTTCAAACTCTGATGTCACTGCTGCTTGCCAGGCAGGGTCAAGTGATGCATCTTCATATGAACATGGCTCAATGTCATGACAAAAACTTTTAACTATTTGTTGATTTCCTTGGTTGGAACTTGTGAGGGACAGATTGGACACAGGGAATGCAAGGTTAGAGGATGAGGTTGAGGATTTATGTTGGAAAGAAGGTAAGGTACAGTCATATTCTTTAAGGTAGGCAGGAATCAGGTGTGGTCTACTGGATCTTCTAGGATTAAGAGGCTGGCCTGGCTGTTGAGTAGTGATAGTGTTTGAATTTGAACAACATGAGAGGTTTTGGTTAGTGTTTGGTTGTGAGGTGGGAGCCAATGAATGATCGGTGTCTGGTGGTGGTGAAGGTTCATTGAAAGGTGCATGTACAGGCAATTCATTTATAGTGACATCAAAAATGGCATCATTGTCCATCACATGTACTTTGTTAAAAGTGTCATTAGTGGAATTAGTGGGATTGAACACATTCAAATCAGTATGTAAAGTTTGTAGTACAGTATCAAAACTAGAATCAGATTTAGGTAAAGCAAAAGGAAAAATGTTTTCATAGAATTTCACATCCCTGGAAACATGTATTTTTGTGGTACTAAGGTCTAGAACTTTATATCCTTTTGTGTTGCAGGGGTATCCAACAAAAATGTGAGGTGTGGACCTAGGATCAGATTTGTCTTTATATGTCTTTAATGTAGGAAAACATAGACATCCAAAAGACCTAAGATGGGAATAAGTGGGAGGAAGATGGTGCAGCATTTCAAAAGGAGTTTTGTTATTTAATGCTGAATTGGAAATTCTATTTATTAAGTAGGTGGCTGTTAATACACACTCCCCCCAGTATTTGGTTGGAAGTTTGGACTAATAAAGTAGTGATCTAGCTACTTCTAAAAGGTGTTTGTGTTTCCGTTCCACCACACCATTTTGTTGTGGTGTGTAGGGACAAGTTCTTTGGTGTATAATGCCTTTGGCTGTAAGGTAAGCATTGGTTTCATTGTTAGTGAATTCTGAACCATTGTCAGTCCTTATTGACTTGACAGCGGTTTTGAACTGGTTCTCAACAAGAGATATAAAGGATTGCATGGTTTGGAGAGTGTTGCTTTTGCAGCTCAAAAGGTATGTCCATGTTGATCTACTGTAGTCATCAACTATTGTTAGAAAATACTTGTAATTGTTGTGTGTGAGAACATGATAAGGTCCCCACAAATCTATATGAAGAAGGTCAAAAAGGTTGTTACTAGAGATAGTGGGCTTAGTAGGAAATGGGAGCCTAGTTTGTCTAGCCATGGGGCAGACAATACAGGTGAAGGGTTGTTTGGGTGAAAATTGTATGGGAATGTTAGAAATACCCTTCATTTTCACAAATGGTATATGTCCTAGCCTATTGTACCACAAGTAATCAACATTGTTTCCATGAGACATGCAAGACATGATAGAGTTGTTTAGTGTAGAAGCAGTAACATTTGAAGCACAATTTTGAAGTACATTATCATTACTCAAACATGTGTCATTACAAGTGTTTACAGAAGTGTGATAAGAAAAACTACCAGAATTATTGTTGCAAAAGGTAGTAGCAATGGGTGAATTAACAGAACAAGGTGAACTAGATGCAATGACAGAAGTTGATCTAGTGGAAACAGAAGTAGAACAGGAAGTGTGACATCTTGCGCACAGAAAATAGAGTCCATTTTGTGCTCTACCAATCTCCAGAGGGCTCTTTTGGGAAGGGCCCTGCATCAAACAAGAGGAACTAGTGAAACTGACCAGTCCTTTAAGATGAGAAACCAAACAATGGACTGAAATTAGATCGAACTTAAAACTAGGAACAAATAACACTTTATGCAAAGTCAGTGATGGATTTAAACATGCATCACCAATTTCTGTCACTTTTACCTTGTAGCCATTTGGAAATGTAATTAGGAATGGATATGGTAAAGGTCTGAGGTTTGTAAGTAGGCATTTTGTAAAGGTCATATGGTGTGTGGCTCCTGAGTCTATAATCCAGGAATCAACATTAAGTTTTAAGCATTTGCAAGACAGATTGCCAATATCAGAAATTGAAGAATAACATGCCAAAATACCTGCAAAGTTGACAGCTCCACCATTGAAGTTACTTGCATCCTCATGTGCAGTGCTGCTAGTATTGGTGCCTCCTTGAACTTGAATGTGATCCAATAAGTTCACAAGTTGGTTGAACTGCTGCTTGGTTAACATGAACTTGACTGTTCATGCAACTTTTCTTTGCCTTTTCCCACATCATGACCTTTCTCAAAAGTATCTCCCAACATATCCTCAGAAAAACCATTTGCATTAGCTGCTGTTCCTGCATTTCTACCTTTGGTGAACTTAAAATCTGGAGGGAAACCATGAAGCCTGTAACACTTCTCTTTGATGTGACCAGTCTTCTTACAATAATCACAAAAGAAATTTGACTTGCTTGAGGGCCTGCTGGTGCCCACATTGTTTTTATGAGGAGCATAGTTGGTTCTGAAACCAGAACTGGTGCTAGCGGCATTCACATGAAAAGAGCTTAAGTCCATATGAGGTTTGTTATGAGGTTTGACTTCCCTTTGTCTCTCTTCCTGAACAAGGATAGAAAAAGCTTGG